AGAAGGACTAAAACTTAAAGATACCTTTACATTTTGTCTTGAGCCATGACTTTTATTTGAACCAATAATTTAGACGTATTATATGACAACATGATTTGATGACTCGAAGACTAATTAGTCCTTCACTGGGTCGCTCCAGCTAAGAACCAGTCCTCTTATAATTTAGATTATAAAGTCACCAGAGAGGCTTTTTAACTAATAGCTAGTTGGTAACCGAATAAGCTACAGGAAAAAGATGTAAGAAACTTATATTGATCTAAGGTCATAATTACGGCAGGTGGCAAACATAAAAAAAAAATAATTCTCAGGCAACCGTAGTTTCAGTTCCCATGAACTTTCTGGCTGAAATGAGCCTCTCACTTTATACGGTCGATGGAGCCACTTGAAATCGTGGAGCACACTGTAGTAAGAAAGTTCTACATTGAAATATTATATAAAAGCTCCTGTGTGGAACTTTTGGTTTGTGTCGATTTTGGCGCCCCCCAGTGGACAAAGCAATACTTCTTATCTCTTTCTGATTCTGTCCTGTGTGTAGGTCTTGTTTTTTTTTTTTTTTAACAAAAAGTCTCATCCTGCTTTCTTTAAATAGTCAGATTTATCACTCATTGAGGATTCATGCTTCAGAAAATGTAAAAATAAAAAAATAAAAATGTTTCTGTAGCTTCCAGTCAATCACTTGGTCTGCCACCTTACGCCCCCAGCAGTGGTTTCATCTGTTAAAAACTATTATCTATAAATAGTCGATCTTCATATTGGTGGTCTCTTTTGCTTTAGTAGCTCATTAGTGTTCATTTCAGCATGTTTCATAATCCACTAAAAACTCCTCACTGTGGCTTTAATTAAATTAGGCCCCATAAGATTTCTGTTTTGCAAAACTTCTCTCTGTGGTGCAACTTGAATGATCACGTAGTCATGATTGATGTCGTAACAAGGCTGAATTTAAAAAATAAACCCAGCTGGTCCAACAGTCTGTAAGTCCTGAGTCTGACAAATAAATGATTTTCATTCTTCTCTGTCGTCAGGAATCCGACAGCGGAAGTGACAGCGGCTACCCCAGCGAGAGGAGGAGTGAAGGCGACCCAAATGACAACGTAGACGGGGTAAAGGTTTCCATTTGACTGGAATGATTTTGGACCAAAATGTCCAGAATTGATTTTTAAAACAAACAAAAAATACATACAAAACATCCATTATGTACAGATGAACTATGCCAACAAAAGTATTTTATGTCTGACATTAATTAACATAATCACTTTGCTAAATATCTTTTAAATATGTTGTAGCTTCTGAGGATTAAATGTGTTTAAACTAGTTTTACATCTTGAATCACCAGGTTGTTTTTTAACACTTTATAAACATGTGAGACTTCTCTTGTTTCTGTCTCTCGTTCACTCTCCTTTGGCTTCACTCCTCTCAGCAGCTGTTAGTCTCTTGACATTTATTTTTCTTCACATGTATTTGAACTGTTTCTGACATGACTTTCATGAATGCATGTTGTATCGTCACGTAGGCCAATCATCGCTCCCACAGACATTACTCTGAGTCGGATGAGGACAGTTTCAGACGGGTAAACAAAACGTAGAGACATCAGTGTGCAAATGTCATCCTCACCTTCATCATCGACGACATCAAATAACCCTCTGATTTTCCCCCTAATTTTCTTTCTTCACTCTGTTTTCACCCCTTTTTTTTTTTTTTTTTTAACAATGAAAACCATCCCTCACCTTCCCTCTAATCAACTCCTGCTGCTCTTTGTGTTCCCTCACTAGAGGAAGATGGTAGCTCCTCCGAGAGTCTCTGCAGCTTTAAATTCATACAATCCTGACAACGAATGGGTGATTATTTGCATGGAGGCCTTAAAATCTGGGATTTTGCCCCCTGTGCATTTCTGTGCCAGCTTTACGCTAAAGCATTATAAAGCATGAGGCTTTGATTTGAGCTACTGCTTCGACAAGCTGCAGCTTTTCCAGGTCAACTCGTTCTTTAATTCCTGAAAAGAAATTGAAAGAGGAGAATTGCTAAACACGCAGATGAGATTTGGAACTGAAACACCATCTTACCTCTCTTTATCAACTCTACTGTTCTCATGACTCTTTCCATGATAACTTGTGTTTGTGTGCTGTTTTCACGCTTTACATGATTTTGCATTCACCGAGGCCAGCGGGGGTGTACTCCTCCTGCTCGCAGCTGAAATGTTTCATTTTATCTGTTTCCTCCTGTGAGGAATTGTATTCGCTTTATGAAACAGCCAGACAATAGCTTTAAAGATTTAATATTTGTAGAATGTTATTTCTAATATGTGAAACCTTTGCCAGAGGATAGGTGTCAGACGGGTGATTACCACGCTACCAAAACATTTTTTACGTCTTCGATGGCAAAGATTATTGATTAGCAATGATACATTTGATGGTTAAAGGAAATCAGTGTGAGATTTATTACTTATAACTACACAGGACAAAATTAGCAAAGACATATTGGTAAGTGGTACAACATTGACCACAGGGGCGCCAAAGTCCACACAAATCAAAAGCTCCCCACAGGAGTTTTAAATTAAGGCTACATTTTCTGGATGAGTACACCCTGAATTTAATATTTTTCACGATTAATTTCCTTTATCTAGTTTTTTTCTTTCATTGCCGTGATGTAAAATAGATGTAGACATTCTCACTCCCTCTTTTCTCCCTCAGCTGACTGAGGAAAACTGGAGTTTCTACCACTCGTCTCGCGCTCACGTCCACAGATCGTCCTGCGTGGCCACAGAGGTGGAGCGGCTCAACGCTCTGCTGCAGACAAAGATTGGCCAGTCGAACCTCGGGAAGGTAAAAAGAAATCTGACTGGCTTGTAGATGATTTTATATGTAATACTGTATGTATACTACTTTGTTTATAAACTGGATACACTGACATTTTTTTTTCGCTGCTTAGTAGTATTTTTTATATAAAAGTTTTTGCTCTTTCTTGACGACCTACAATGAGCTAATGTAGAATACTGGAGGTCAGGTAGACTACAGCTGGGACATACAAACTAACTTTCTGGAAAAATATCGACCCCTTAAATTCCCCATGAAATATAAAATATGTTATCCCAGTTTTAATCCAGCGTTAATCCTATGTTCGTTTATCTGCCAAATATATTTCAATACAGCATTATCTGAGTATGTTTACAGTAAATATATAAGAAATTAAAACTACGATTTCTTATCTCATTATGCCAACAGAAAATGACAACCACAAAGTTAGCCTAGCCAAAACTACATATGCTGCTGTTAGACTAATAAGACAGTTTTGTATTTTGCGGTGATTTATAGAATAGAATAGAATAGAATGTCTTTATTGTCATTATACAATTGTACAACAAAATTATTTGGCTTCACCTTAAAGTGCACACACATACAAGCATCCTCAGCTAAAAACAACAAAAGAAGAAAATAAAAAAGTTATTTTCAGGTGGTAGCATAACAGAATATAAATAGATATTGCAGAAATATAAAATAGATATTGCACAGTATGAAATGTAAAATATTGCAGAAATCCTCTTAACCTCCTGTTTTATTGTTTTCCTCTGTTTTGACACTGAGTGTAACTTGGAGAGTTTATCCTCGATCACCCTTTTTCCGTGTAGGTCCACTTGGCGATGGTGCGGTACCACGAGGCGGGTCGTTTCTGTGAGAAGGACGAGCAGTGGGATCAGGACTCGGCCATGTTCCACCTGGAGAGAGCAGCTCTGTGTGGAGAGCTGGAGGCCATTGTAGCGTTAGGACAGTGCTACATGCAGCTGCCTCATCACATCCTGCCTGACTTGAAGTTCGAGGTAAAAAGCACTTTCTTTAAAAAAAAATTTAAACTTATTGGAATAAATCTTTTGGTTTTTGTACCGAATGCATCTTTGTTTCTCTGACATTGCTTTCTGTTGTTTGCAGGATAATGCAGGAAACAGGATGAAGGGTTTTAAATATCTGCTGCTGGCAGCCGAGGCTGGAGAGAGATCGGCTATGATCACAGTGGCCAGAGGCTTTGACACTGGGATCAGTCTGCCAGCTGACAGGTCAGTGACACAGGGTTAAATTTGGACCCACTCTTGTTTTGAAGTTTGCCAGAATTCTGATATCTCAGACATTGGCAATACCGCCCCCTAGTGGAAACTTGAGATGATTTTTTTTTTTTTAATCCAAGAAGCAGGATTGTTCTGTTTGTGATGCTGAATGTTTTTTTGTGTTTTACATTTACATTTTTCAGAAAGCAGGACTGGAAGGAGGCGATCCACTGGTACGACGGAGTGTTGAACACGACAGACCACGATGAGGGGGGAGAGTTTGATGGGACGCAGGACGAGCCTCGACACCTGCTGCTGGCCAGAGAGGCAGAGATGTACCAAGAAGGAGGACACAACCTCACTGCTGACCCACAGAGAGCAGGTTCGACTTCATGCTTGTCCAACAAACCCAGCTGTGATAAATATAGTCTAATACTCCGATAGTCTTTTTTTTTTTACGAGAATTAAAATCCTACCTCATGCATGCTTGAAATAACACTCTTGATAAACAATTCAGCTTGATGAATACATATAATTTGCTTAAGAGTTCATTTATAGTTAATTGATAGGAACAGATACATTATACATCCAATACAATGAAGTAGGACTTGATGCTGTGGTTTAAATCTGTGACATTTGCAGTATATTTAAAGGTTAACGAAGCATGCCCTAGGACTTTTTAAATAGCATAGAGAAATAAAATACATACCCTGCTGCAGATAATGATCTCTAGCTTCATCCTAACGTCCTAAACCTTCTCTCGTTTCAGGTGATCTGTTCACAGAAGCGGCAGAAGCTGCCACGGCGGCCATGAAAGGTCGACTGGCAAACCAGTACTACATGAAAGCTGAAGAAGCCTGGGCGCTAATGGAGGAGTAATTCTAGATTCACATTTCTATCACAAAAAGGCCACGGGGGTTCATTTGTCTGACCGATAGCCAGGCTAGTTTACATTTTATATTACAGGATGTTTGCTAACAGTGCTACGTGTGTGTGTGTGTGTGTGTGTTCTTTCAGTCTTAGTTTAGCAGCATAGTTAATGAGTTTCTTTTTCCTGTTTCTTTTTCCTCTTTTCTTTAATCTCCACCTTTACTTACCTATTTGCTTCATGAATGCATGAAAGAGGAAAAACTGCAGAATCAAATAAAGAGTAACGTTTACTTTCTTTGACCCAAACGTTAACAAAGTTGTTTTATGATTGCATGTTAAAGAAAGAAAAATGTAAATAAAGTTTAATCTGCTTTTTGGGTAAAGGCTTGTCTCTATTTCTTTGTCTTTTTCTCCGGGCTACAACTCTGACATGAAATGGTTGAAATTGTTCCAACTTGTATTTAATCTTACAAACAAAATCCTCACACATCTAATAGCAAGAAAGAAGGAAAATAACAAGAGACAGGCTTTAGTTCAAAGTTAAAAGTACGTCTGCAATAAGGTAAGTTAACTTGAACTGGTGACTTTATCTTTGAGTTTGAAAACATTTTGACTCATAATTTCGTCTTTCACCTTTTATTGTTTTGCAATCTCAGCTTACTTGTACCACAACCTAGCAAAGACATACTTCTTGAATAATAAATGTTCTTATTCTGTATGCAGTCAAGATAATAATAATGGAGCGTCTGTTCAAAAGCAACAAACAAAAATGTAAAGAGGGCAAAATCGTTGATTCATGTCAAAGCAACGCTGTACATATATAAACAACACAACTTCAGAAGGTCAACACTTTTTTATTCTTATTTTTTATATTCAGGTCTAATTACAGGATTTTTTTCCTCAACTGTTTATAGGTTCTTGTTTAAATTGCACATATATATTTTTATCTTTGCACTAGTTATGTACATTTCTTGTATAAGTCTATTTTTAATTGCACAGTTTAAGTTTTGATTCATCTAGGGGTATTCTTTAAATCTTTTTTTCTGGTTAATATATATATATGTATGGGAGGAGGGGGGGAGTCGGTTTTGTGGTTTAATTTGTAACAAATGTTTCATGTGATGTCTTTGTAACCTGCTACTGGATGCTTTGAATTTCCCTCTGGATCAATATCTATCTATCTATCTAAAGCTCTCTTTTTTTAACGATGAGTGGGTCTTATCTCTTTGCTGAACTTTATTTTGAAAATTTCAACTTTATTCCTGACAACTTTTTTCTTCCACATTTGTTTTTTATTTCCGACATTTCGATTTATTTTTATTTTTTCGATTTTGTTTTATTGGGGAAAAAACATTTTCCACCAATCAAGATTTATCTTATATCTTATCATATCAAATCTCCTCATTTGTTAATATATTATCGTGAAATCCGCGTGTCTCCAACGTGAGGTAGCGTGGCCGAGCGGTCTAAGGCGCTGGATTAAGGCTCCAGTCTCTTCGGAGGCGTGGGTTCGAATCCCACCGCTGCCATAATCTTTTCTTTACCGATCTAATAAAAAAAAATATTCTCCAGGTAATGAACTTGTATCCTAACAACCTGAATGTCCAGTGTGTAGTAAATAAGTGACAAAAACAAACATTAAAAACAAACACCTAGTGCTGATCTCGCTGTGCATTGTGGGCAGGAGCTCCTCCCCACGTGTCCGAGTGGAGCAGAGTCAACATGGTACCTCCACATCCTGAGTTAGTCTGAACTGCTTCACCTCTGCGCACCCTCATTTATGGGCTGTGGCACATGTAACACACGAATGAGGTAGCCAAAACAAGGTCCGTGAAGTGTGCAGGTGAGAGCCGAATTCATTTTTTTGACCTGCGTTTTAAACAAAATGAGTAAAAACCAAATCTTTGTGTTATTTTTTATTCATGTTAGCACGCCAGGCTAGCTTCTGAATGCTAGGCTAGGCAACGTTTAGCCGGCTGCCTGCATGTGAACTCACTAGTTTCGCTTCTTTTTACGTTTTTGTGTGTGTGCAGAACACGAGTAGGTTTATTTAAAATGTGTTGTCTTTGACATGTCTTTTACATTTATATATGTAATGATACGACTCGACCAGCATTGTAGTGCAGGCCTGTGAGTACTTACTGCTAATGAAGCTAACGAGTCCAGTTTGACAGGAATAACTTGTTTACTGTTTTATAATAATAATATGTGAATCTGTTCAACGTGTTAACTCAACGTAACAAATGTGTCACAGTCTTGTTTTAAAAGATCAGTCAGTCAACTTGGAAGATTTCATTGTGTTGCACCATGTGAGTTGTACCTGGTTGTGTCAGATGTAACCTCACTGAACAGACTGCCTGATCATTTGTTTATTGACTTTTACATGGATTGTTTTCTTCTGTGTACGTCATGAACAACCTGACAACCAAATGCTTATGTGATTTAATCTTATGTAACCTTGATATTATGATTCATATCGCTCTTGTTCAGTCTGCACCAGCAGCCTGTCAGCTGACAAGTCTGGGGTGTAACCACTTCAGTTTCAGTGTATAGATGTAAGTGTGCAATTCTGTAAATCAGTGTGTCTTTGTTTCCAGGTTGGATCTCTTAAGATCTGCTGTGGCTCCTCTTGTTTCATCTCCCCTCCCCTTCCTCGCTCTGTTCACATCAATATGGCCAGCGGGGATGATGATGACCCCATTATAGAAGAGGTACAGGAGAAGTTTTAGAATGAAGCTGTAACTATTCGAACCCACAATCGGCTTTAACCTGCTAATTAAATGTACATTTTATTCGTCTGTTATCCAAGATTAAAAAGCCAGGGCATTTAACTGGATAATGACAGATCAAATGTGTTTATTATTGTGCATACCTGTGCTGTTCTGCTTTTTTTTGGTTTCTCTTTTGACTCCCTTGTTGTGAATTTTAAAAGGAGAAATGCGTAAACATCCACAAAGCTTTCTGCGAGGACCAGATGCTACGATAGCTTTGTATGTTACACCCAGAGTGTAGAGTGACATGCTGCTCAGCTGGGACGCATTTGTGCTTACACACAGTGTTAAATACACGGCCTCTCTGGATTCTAAACACGTTGTGTTGAAAGTTGAACCAGGATATCGCTGATAGATCCACGTTTAGCGATCAGACATGACAACTAGAGATCTTCTATTTTTCATTCATGATGCCGAGTCAGTCAGTGAATGTGTGTAATGGCTAATACAAATCCAATGGATTAAAAAAACGTACATATTAATCATTTAACTTTACAGAGAGACTTGTGTATGAGTGGCATACCGATACCGTCCTAAATTTTTTAGGTAGATTCAGAAAGAACTTGTTTATTTGGAACCAGAAGTACTCTTTAGCTGACTAAATATTGCAGAAGCCATACGACAAAGAGCAGAGGTCGGATCAGGACACACGGCCACTGCGACAAAGTCTCGAGCCTTAATGTATATGGGGCGTGCAACTTAACCGCCAGGATATCTGACTCCCCTTACTATCGTATTATTAAAGTTTGTTGACAACAATAGAATTATGTGTTTCCAATATTCAGAAAGGCTTCTAACGTATCGCTTTGTCTACTTTATTCTGGTACAGATGCGATTTTTAATTATTGGAAGATATAAAATAATCCGTGGTCAGAATCAATGTCATGACCTCAAGTATTGATTTTGAATAAACAGGACATTTAACACATTTTAATATGTGAATTATATGGAGGGATAAAGTGTTTCTCTCTGCTAACAATGGCTCTGTGTCGTGTAGCAGTTCTCTCATTTTCCCCTTATTGAAATGTTGTATGCTCGCAGCTCTGGGACAACATCTGTGTTAGGTAGCATGAGCCACGACAATTATGTAGCGCTGCAAAACAGAATCAATGAATGAGGCAGATAAGAAAAACACTTGATTTTATAATGATGTCTATTTATGACGTTTTATTGTAATCTCGATGAGATCTCGGCCTCTCAGCAAAGACGCGACACTAAACAAAACACACCCAAGCAGCATCAGTAACAATCACAAGCAGGTCTGATATGAAACCCAGGCAATCAGAATAATCAAATAACTTTGATCAATGTTTTCCTTTTCCTCTCAGGTTGATGTTTACCTGGCCAAAAGTCTTGCAGATAAGCTGTATCTCTTCCAGGTGATGACTCCTTCAGTTGTACTTTATTCAAATGCATTTCACTTCTTTTAAAGGCCGTTGGTGAGTCCCTGACTAACGACCCTCTCTGTTATCTGTGACACAGTACCCTGTCCGACCATCCACCATGACCTATGATGATGTCAACCACTTAGCAGCGAGGATCAAACCCAAGCAGCAGAGGGTAAACAACAGTTATTTGTTTCTTAATGTATCTTCCATGACTCTTGAAAAAGTTTACAGATGTTTTCCTCTACCATATATATTGGAATATGTATATTGTCATGCAGGTGGAGTTGGAGATGGCAATCAACACAATGAGTCCAAACTACTGTCGCAGCAAAGGAGAGCAGATCGCTCTGAATGTGGACGGCACAGCGTACGATGAGACCAACACCTACACAGCGTACGTTTACCCCTCATCAAGTGAGGAATAAAAATGACAACTCTGCCGCTTCTGTCATTCAGAGCACACACTTTCAGAACGTCATCTTCTCATCTCGCCTCAGACGAGAATGTCGACCAACGTCAGATTCTTCTTTTATACCTAGGATGAATAGCTGCCACGTTTCTCAGACTAATGCGAATTCTTTGTTTTCCTTCTGCAGGAAAATGATGGACAAACAGACCTTTTCCTCCATTCAGGCCACCACCAACACGTCCAGATATGCCGCCGCTGTTTTCCGCAAAGGTCTGAACTGCGCAGCGTTACTTGAGTTTTATTTGTGTAACCTGCTCTTTGTAAATTCACAAAGGTCAATCATGCAGTGTGTTCACATCGTCCATATGAACCTTTATCAGTGTGACTTTGTTTATCTTATCTTTTAGTCTATTTAACTTATATTACAACATGTTTATCTTCATAACGTACTAACATGACATCTCCGTTAAGCACAGTTCGTTGAGTGCAGTTTCAGTTTGTGATGTTTTTATTGTCTCGTGTCAACAGGTGAGCTTCACGTCACCCCTCTGACTGGAATCCTGCAGATGAGACCCAGCTTCTCGTACCTCGACAAGGCCGACAACAAAACCAGAGAGAGGGAGGCTGCCAATGAAGGTGTCTGCTGTTTTTTTTTTTTCATTCAAAATTCAATATGTGAGAGAAATTAGTTAGGATCACCTTGGACTCTGGAATAATGTAAATGCCTTCATGTTTATTCTTTTATTTTTTAAAGATTTATTTTTGGGCTTTTGTACCTTTTTATTGGAGAGATATGACAGTCGATAGAGATGGAAATCAGAGAAGAGAGAGAGAGAGAGAGAGAGAGAGAGAGAGAGAGAGAGAGAGGGGATTGACATGCGGGAAAGGAGCCACAGGTTGGAATCGAACCTGGGCTGCCCGCTTGGAGGACTATAGCCTTTATACATGGGACATGTGCACTACCCACTGCGTCACCAGCGCCCCCTTTTTATTAATTTCTGTATATTTTCACATAAACGTTTTGCCTATCTTTAAGGTAAAAATCACTCTGGCCGTTTTTATCAGATGTTGAAAATGGATTAAAGTATTGTACCAAGTGGTGTGGTCAAATATAATGACAGTTATATAACCAGAGGCTTCATGTCTGCAGGCGGTGATTCTTCACAGGATGAAGCTGAGGAAGAAGTCAAGGCCATAACGGTAAAACCTGAGAGTTCACATCCGCTCACTAACAAACTAACCCATGATTACGCATTGTTAATGTGTCGATATGAACCTGTCATTTCTCAAAACATCATGTCTCTATGTCCATCTTATCCAGGTGAGGTTTGCTCGTCCCGAGTCTGAGCAGGCCCGTCAGAGGAGGATTCAGTCGTACGAGTTCCTCCAGAAGAAGCAGGCGGAGGAGCCGTGGGCTCACCTGCACTACCACGGAGTCAGGGTGAGAGAGCATTTAATTGAAGTATTTATAGGTTTGTTTTTATTTTTTTTTTAATTCAATATTTTTTCTCCAGACATTGTTGGCTGTCGCTCTAGTTGTGAAATGTTTGCACCATCTGACCTTGTTTTTAAAAATGCAGGATAGTCGCTCCGAGCATGAAAGGCAGTACCTGTTCTGTCAGTCGGTGGATGCATCGGAGAACTCTGAACTGGTCAAAACTCCAAAGTGAGTATCAATTGATAACATTTTAATATATTTCCTGCTTTTATGACTTTGGGAGTGTAGATTTTTTTTTTTTCTTCTGGTAAAAAAACATTTTGTTTGTTTCGGTAACAAACAGCATTTACAGTGTTTCCTCAATGTTCATATCACTCAATCTTAAACAATCATACTGTCATACAGATGCAAAAAAAAATACATTATCAAGCATTACAACCCATTTCAGATCTAATTTCTGATTCAGGATTTTACTAAATCTGCTCTGAAAACAGACCCCCTGCCTTGTATCTGTCGGCGAGCTTTGGTCCTCGCTAGCTTCTACAGATGCAGCTTTATAAAGAAAAAAAGATAATCAAACAGAGTTTAGATCTCTGG